GAGGATGCTGATCAATCTTGTGGATTTGGCTTTGGAGGTCACTGTTACAGTACCTCCCTGGTAGTTTCTAAGTGGATGCTTTTGATAGGTCAGCTTCAGTGATTGCATCATCTAGATAGAAATCAGTGTGATTCTAAATAAATAATAGGCCAAGCTGAAAAGAATTCTCAATCGTTAGAACTGTGGGTGGCAGTGGGTGCATCACTGCTGTTTTAGAACTTTTAAATGTGGGTTCCTTGGCATTAGCTTTATTTAAAATAGAGTGGTAGTTCTTCACACCCTCTGAGAAGTTAATAGCCCACCTTCTATGAGATGGTGGCCCACAGGAGTTTATGTTACTAATTCTACTGCCCTTGTGGGAGGAGTAGATGGTGCTTTAGAGAACTTGCAGAAGATAGGGCTCCTCTCCAGACAGCTTCTATAATGACTTGAGACAGATAAGAGGTTGACTAGTAGATGTTTGGGGTCAGATGTGAAATAGAAAGTTGTAGGAGGGGCTTATGTCCTTGTCCAACCCATTCTGACCTCTTGCTAGTTGTGCACCCTGAGAGACATCGGTGATGGTTCATGTACTTGAGTCCTTGCCACCCATGTGGAAGACCTGGATTGAGTTCCAGGTTCCTGACTTTGGCCTGGCCTACCTCTGGCTGTTGCAGACATTTAGAATGAAACAGTAGATAGAAGGTCTCTCTCTGTCTGCCTCTGTCTCTCTGCCTTTCAGATAACTAAAAATAAATAATAGAAAAGGAAATCCCTGAATTGGTCAATCAGGCACTACTATATCTGGCTGTGGTCTCCTTGTTCCTCCCCTTTTTCTCTTCATTTGCTCTATCCTCTACTCCTGTGTTCAGTGTAATCAGGTACAGATTGAGTTGTGGGTGGGTGGGAGGAAGGGGACATTTCCCCACTGTTATCATTCTGCCTGAAGTTTCTCTAAGTGGCAGGAAAAAGCCAAAGTAGGTCAAGTGATATGGTTGAGCTGATCATGGACATGGACCCTGAATAACTGGCTCTGTGGAGCTATAGGAAGAGAATGAGGCGCCAAAAAAGCCTGGGCGTGGGTGGGAGGCCATTCCAAGTTCAGATGATGACAAGAAGACTGCTGTGGGGCTTCTCTTGAGGCTCCTGGAGTGAGGAATTGAATCTCAGCTCTGTTTTTTTTGACCCTATGACCTTGGCCAAGATCAAAACTCTCTGCATCACAAAACTCTCCCCAGAAAAATGGAAGCTGTATTATATGAGCCTGCTAAAGAGGGATATTATTTCAAACACTGAAGCATTACATTAAAAAAAATAAGTGAGACCCAGGGGAAGGAAGGAAAATGGGGGCTGTGAGTGGAGAGGAAGTGACACGTTTCATGAAATTGGAACTTTTTAAAGGTTGTTTTGGGCACAGTTTCAAAAGGAAGTGCTGCTTATTAAGGCAAACAATCACAACTCTAATCTCTATCAGGAGACATATCTAGGTTTAAGCACACATTTTTTTTCTTTACTCCTCTGGATTTTGGATTTTCAAATGAATTCTGTAATATGAGTATAAATCTTACTGAAGAAAAATAATTTAAGGAAGAACATTTTTTTGATTCCTGTTCCATCTAATGAAGGTAGAGAAAAATTTTCAGCAATGAAGAGCAGCCTAAATATTTGGACCTCTCTGAAGTTAACTAACTAGCTTGTTAATCTCCCTTTCACTAAGAGCTTCTTGGTTGTAGACTTTCTCATTACCCCTGTACTGGTCAGACTGCCCTCCTCCAGGCTCCTGCATCCCCTGGGTTCACCTACATCCTGAACACATCACATTAGACTAGAATGGTCTGGCTACTTGTGTTTTTTCAAACTGGATTCTTGAAGACTGGAAATATCTAACCCATGTCAGATGCTCAAGAGATCAATACTGATTATAGATAAGGAATAGAGAAATAAGGGTCATCTCTATATTGATTTAATAGTGCGTATAACAAATTACTACAAACCTAGTGGCTTTACACAACACACTTTTGTCATCTCATAATTGCCATGGGTCAGGGGTCTGGCCACAGCCCAGCTGAGTCCTCTGCTCAGAGTTTCAGATTGGTTGCCATCAGGTGTTGGTCAGGGCTGCAGTCTCACTTGGAAGCTCTGAGTAGTGACCTGATTGAAGGTCACACAAGTTGTTGGAAGAATTCATTTCCTTGTGGTTGAAGGAATGACGGTCTTTGCTCTTAACTAGCAGTTGGATGGAAGACACCCTCAGGTCCTGGAGGCCACCAGGATTTCACAGCATGAGTGTTTACTTCTGCAAGGCTAGCATAAAACTCTCTCTCTGTCTCTCTGTCTCTCTGTCTCCTGCCAGCTGAGGTTGAGTTTGAATAACATAGCATAATCAAGGAGGCATATTCTATCACCTTTTGCTGTGTTCTGTTTGTGGAAAGAAATTCTCAGGTCTTGGCCACATTCAAGGGGATAGGATTATACAAAGGTATAAATCATTGAGAAGGTCATTTGAGGATGTGTCTACTTCAATTGTTATACTATCATAAGAACTTTCAACTCACAAACTCCAGTTTTTTCTTTTTCTTTTTTTTTTTTTTTTTGAGAATTATAGGAGAGTGGCTTAATAGTTCTATCTTGTGTTCCATTATCTAAATTAGTTCTTGATTTTGTGGTTGCTTTTTCAGGACAAAAATATAGCAGTCTGGTATTTCTAAACCATATATGAAGTATAAGTTCTCATGTTAATGATGTTCCAAATCCACCCTTTTCTACATGCTTTATGATGGTAGGAGTCCGTAAACTATGACTTTATGTTTTACAATAGGAGACAAGGAAAGGGATGGGGGCTCACTCCTTCCTTTTAGGCTGTTTATGTCAGCTTTACCCCAATACGGGTGAGATCCTTCACCTCAGCAATGGCCATTTATTCCAGTTCGGTGTCTTCCAGCACTCCTGAGTCACTCTATCAGAGAGCAGCACTAGCTGGGTAGCTCCCCTTCCCTGGAGATCAAAATTCTAGCTCTGGGGATCCTCCACTAAGCTGGCCGGTTCTGATAACCCTAATTTCTTTTCTTTGTTTTTCTTAGTGGTGGTGGACACTTCTGCAGGTCTTAGGTTGATGTTAGCTCAGTGTCCTCATTTTGCCTTCCTAGTTCCTCAACATTGATTTAACCAAATTCCTATGTTATATTCATTCTGTTAAAATACCTGTTTTTTTTTTTTGTTTTTTTTGTTTTTTTTTTTTCCCCAGACTAGATCTTGGCTGATATGGCACTATAATTTTCATCCAAGTTGCCAGGAACTACAGGAGCTCATAACTCCTATTTGAGTTTTATGTATCAAAAGAGCTGATGTTTAGCAATTGTACGAAACTTGTCTTCTGGGTTCCAAGTGTTTGAATATTGGGCTCATAGTTAACTTTGCCGGTCTGTTCAAGACTTCCTGGCTCAGTAGTAGTAGATATAAATAAGCACACAGGGGGTGACTCATACACTCCCCAACTTATAGTGAATCATGAGTAAAGAGGCTCCAGCCCCTAAGAAACCTAAACTTAGAAATCAGTAAAACTATTTGTGGAAGTTATGGAATATACCCCGGTTACCCCCATTTCACAGATGAGGGGACAGAAAGATTAACTTCCATCCAAGACCTTCTTGTTAATAGATGTCTTAGAGTCAGGCATTATGGCTACTATGTCTTTTTGCTGGACCCCTGAACTGCTTCCACTTTCCATGTTTTCTAACTTTCTTTTAATGGCATCTATACCCAAGTTTGAAATATCTGAGTCACCAAAAGATGACTCCATCCTCCTCCCTTAAATAAGGCCTGCTGATCTTCCTCCAAAATGCATCTTCCATCTGTCCCCTTCATTTGGTTTCTATAGTCTCTGGGCTTGTTTCAGACTTCAGTATCTCTTGCTCAATCTATTAAAATAGCCTTCTGTTTGGTCTTTCCTGATGTCCATTTGATGCATGGATGCCAGAAGACTGTATGTGAAATACAGCTCAAAGATTATTGCTCTTCTCAGAAACTTTCAGTGGCTCCCTGTTCCCTATGGGATGACATGTAAATAGCTGTGATGGTAAAACTTCCTTCAAAATTTGATCTCAACCTCTGTCCCCAGTTTTGCCTCATTTCTCCCTGGTCAGTATCCTTCATGCCACCCAAACCTGTCCACAGCCTCTGGAACCTGACTACACAGTCCTTTCTACGTCAGCATAGTCAACATGAAATGATGGCCTATTCCATTCCCCATCACTTTCCTATGCTCTTTATCTGCATCCCCTCATTTCATCCTCATGGAGATCTTGGGAGACAGATAATTTGTGTTTTAAACATGAAGAAACCAAGTTAGTATGCTTAACCTTAGTAGTTCAAAATCATAGACAGGTTGCTATCCCTTATCCAAAATGCTTGGGACTGAAAGTGTTTCAGATTTTGGATTTCTTTTTTTAAATTTTTGAACATTTGCAGAAATATGATAAAATATCTTGAGGAGGGGACCCAGGTTTAAGCCTGAAATTCATTTATGTTTTTGTATGTACCTTTTTTGGTGTGCCTGTGTTTTGATTGTGACCTGTCACATGAAGTTAAGTGTGGAATTTTCCACTTGTCAGCATTCAGAGTTTTGGGTTTGGAGCATTTCAGATTGCAGATTTTCAGATTACGTATGCTCAACCTGTAGTCCATTCTCTCTTTTGTGTGAATTGTGCACATTCCTTATTATCTTCCTCCAAAATGCATAATTTGTTGAGAACAGGGAGCATTCCTTGTACAGCTAAAATCCCCTGTTCTAAGTTTGTGGAGTTTTTTATGCACAGTGAGTGATCTATCACCAATTTACTTACAGTTTAAGAATTCACAGTTTTTACCACCAAGTTACTTTGTCATATTCTTTGCTGCTGGATTTTATTTTATTTTTTGTATATCAGCAAGCATACACCCGTGTTCTGTGTAATGTAGTCTAAGGTTGGGGGTGTTTCAGAAAAGTTTGAAATAAACTGATTCCTATTTTCCTTCTGTTATAGTTTTGGGGATGATACTTATTTATGGATCATGGAAACTGTTTTAAAGACTTTAATGAGCACTTAAATTCAGGAGCACTTGCATTTTTGTAAAGAAGTTGGTAAGTTGTCATGCAGAGAATCCTTTTGAATGTCTGTTTTCCAAGTTTGAATTTTTGTTTATTGTTTATTGCCTGATACACAATGAGGGATGCTTGTCTATTTGGTTGAAATGAGTACAGCTGGGGTTGGGGTTATTATTCAAAATTATTCAAAAGCTACTCAAAAGACATAAAACAAAAAATCAGGAGCATAGATGCAAGGTCATGCATTAGAACTTTGGGGTCAGAAGAAGCTGGATTCTCTTGGAAATAATAAGGCCGACCCTTCAGGAGGGTGGCTCGGTGGAGATGGCCAAATAGATAACATTTGGAATTTACATGCAGAGAGAAACACTTTTGGCAAATGTATTCAGTTGCCTTTTGGTCTAATTTCGGAGTTACAAGAGTTAAGGGAAACACTCCCGGATTTGGGATTGCTTTCAAAGGACCAAGGGCCCCTTATGCAGCTTCAGTTCCGGGTGGCCATTTCGTATTCCTGTGAGGATCCCAGGGAACAGAGATGGAAGTGTCTGAAATGCGGGGGAGGAGGGAGGAAGTTCAGGAAAGAGGCTAGGGCAAGCAGGCTGCTTGTCAAACAAGAGGAGGCGGAGGGGGAAAAGGCCATTCAGTGCTTCTCTTTCTCTTTCCTGGGTATCGTGTCCAGGAGCCATTCCTGTGACCTCTGATGAGGGACAGTAGGTCTAATACTCCTTGTTCGTGTTCAGAGTCCCACAAATGGCCTTTCTCTTGTGGGATCTGGTTTTGGAGGGTTTTCTGCCCTGAGCATAGACTCCTGTTGCTTGCTCCTCACTGCCCTGGCTTCAGTGACAATTGTTCTGGAGGCATAGAGTAGGGCTGAGCTAACTATCTCACGAGACTGTAGTGTCCTTGCAAGTCCCACAGCACTGTCTTCGTTGGCTCTGTGCCACCAAGCTGAGTGGGCCCAGGAAACTGGTCCTGCATTGGCAACCTCTCTGTTTAATTCGGTGCCTGAGGAAGGCAAGGAAGCTGATCTAGTGACCAACACTGGGAAGGCAGTGAACACTGGGAAAGGCAACCCTAAACCTTCCAATTGTTGGCCCTGATCATGTGTAAAGTGGGGATAATGATATTATCTACCCTTTGGGGTTTTGCAGATTGCTAAGTGTCTAGACAGTGCCTGACACACACTGAGCTTGATGTAAGGATTAGCTATCATAATATTTGTCCACATCTTTTGCCCAGTTTTCCCTCTTGACCATATTGAAGTGCAGCCAGGACAAAGGACCGCAAGGCCAAAGAAAGCCCACTGCTGTAGCTCTTGTTCTGTTTCTGAAATGGTCTGCAGGTTTTTGTGCATGACCCTGCACTGAGATGGCAGCATTTATTTCTCAGATGAAGATGTGTTTTGATGGATGAGTATCTTGGTTCTCCTGCTATCTTTGATAAACCGGTCTGTTGGTATTTGAGTTGGTTTGCCCCAGAGAGGAACAGCTAACCCAGTGCATCCACTGCTCTGGGCAAGCCTGCAGCCCTTGAACTCGGCTAGCCTTTGCTCTATTGGCCGCCAGATGGAACTGCTCAGGGTCTGCAGGAGGCTGGTGCTCTGTGTGCTCACTTGCAGCAGGCTGAGGGCTGTGGTTGTGGCTGCCTGAGCTATTGCTGCTGCTGGGGAGATCACACGCCCACAAGGGGAATGCCTCAAGTTGATTAAAAAAAAAAAAATTGAAGAGAAAAGCTTCTTTCTTTATAGGCCAGCTTCACAGTTACGCAACTCTGACTGTACGTTTTCAGACTTTCCGTACTGGTGAAGGTCACCTTAAGATAGACTGAAAAGCATGTATCATAGTCATAAGAAAGTTCAAGTTTATGAGCAAGTTTTAGGCACTATTTGGTGATGAATGTGTAGTTTCTATACTGAGATCACAGCTTCTGCAGCAATTGGAGGAAGTTGCCATCATATCACCAGCACCACTGGCACTACAATTATTGATTCCCATGATATACCAGGAATTCTCCAACATGTTCACTCTCTTTCTCATAATAATATAGCAAGGGAGCTACTGTTGGCCTGATTTTATTGATGAAGGAATTAAATTCAGACAGTTAACTATAATAACTAAGATGAATCATCTAGAAAATGACAAGCCATATTTTTGAAATGAATCTTTGTTGTCAAAGTTTGTGATCTTTCTGTTTTCCAATGTGTAGAGTTGCAGAATTTAGAATTCATAGTTTCCCTGTTCCCAAGATCTCACAGTTAGTACCATCATTAGAAAAAATAATCTTCCATCTCCTATCCAAGTAGTTTTCAAGGATAAAAGTTTATTACATAAATGTCTTGGCTAAAAAAATTAGAAAGTTGAGAGTTAGCTAGGAAAGGAGGAAAAGTGGTTCAGAATCTGAGTGTAACTGCTTCCTACCTGTGTGGGCAAGTTCTGTAACTTCGTGGAGCTTCATTTGGTCATCTGTAAAATGGTGGTAATAATAATAATATTGAAAATGAATTAATGTATGACATCTGGAAAATAGCAGATACTTCCATTAACTATCTCAAGAAGGCTATGAGAGATTTCAGAAAGATAGTGGAAAATGGAATTAAAAAGATACATTTTTATTGGTGCAAAAAGTTTTGAAATCCATGCATACAAAGAGTCTTCAAAAATTTCGTGGGAAATGCACTTTACCAAAAAATGCATAGATTTCAAAATTTTTTATATCAAAGAAACATGTTTTAATTCCATTTTCATGAACTTTTTGAAGTATCCTTGTATTTTGGAATCAGCTAAATACAAGATTTTTTTTTTTATTCAAAGCAGCTTGAAAGTGAGGCCTGAGAAGACAGAGTCTGTTTGTTAAAACTGGTAGCTGTGCACTGCTTTGTCAAGAGCACAGGTTCTAGAATCAAGACCATGTGTTCAAATATCAGCTCGACCACTGGTTAGATGTGTGGTCTCATGCAAATTACCTAACCTGTCTATGCCTGAGTCACTCATCTATCTTTGAAGGTAATCGTGGTATCTCACATTATGGCTGTTCTTGGGTTAAATGAAACAATGCAGGAAAAGCATGAGCCTAGTGTAGAGCCTCTGCAAATGGTAGGTAAACAAACAGTGGTAGCCATAATTGTAATAATTGGTAAATCTAGGATCTGTCAGTAGAACCAAAATCATATAGTGTTAACAAACACAGAAAGAGCTGCTCTATTGATTCAGGCTATATTTTATAAAATAGTAATTTGCTATTCTATCTGTATCCAACTTGATTTTGGGAGGAAAATGCCAAAACTGGACCAATTTGGTAATCATTTTACAAACTGACTTTTAAAAATAAATAAATGTTGTTTTGGCTCAGGACATGCAAAAGGGTGATCTGCCCTGTACAACTGGTGATAGAGGGCAATTGCACAGTGTGTGAAAAGTCTTAAAACCTTGCATGTTTGTAAATTCAACAATTGTACTCCTAAAACTTTATTTATTTAAGAAAGCAGTCAAGGGGAGGGCATTTGGAGCAGCAGTCAGGATACCACTTGGGACACCCATCCCCTAGATCAGAGTGCCTGGTTTGAATACTGGCTCTTCCACTTCCAATCTAACTCTCTGCTAGTGCACACCCCAAGGGGCAGAGCCCAGCACTGTTGTGGGCATTTGGGAAGTGAGGCAGCAGATAGAAGACAACTAGCTCTCTCTCTCTTCTTTTCAAATAAAAATTATGAAAATAAATAAGCAAAAAATCATTAAAAAGAAAGTTAATGTATCTACATCCTTGGATTGATTTTTTTTTTTTTTTTTGACAGGCAGAGTGGACAGTGAGAGAGAGAAACAGAGAGAAAGGTCTTCCTTTGCCGTTGGTTCACCCTCCAATGGCCGCCACGGCCAGCGCACGTGCGGCCGGCGCACCGCGCTGATCCGATGGCAGGAGCCAGGAGCCAGGTGCTTTTCCTGGTCTCCCATGGGGTGCAGGGCCCAAGCACCTGGGCCATCCTCCACTGCATTCCCTGGCCACAGCAGAGGGCTGGCCTGGAAGAGGGGCAACCGGGACAGAATCCGGCGCCCCAACCGGGACTAGAACCCGGTGTGCCGGCGCCGCTAGGCGGAGGATTAGCCTAGTGAGCCGCGGCGCCGGCCTTGATTTTTTTAAAATAAGTCATTTATTAATTTAAAAATACTTAAGTGCCTACTCATGCACTGACTAAGTTCTGGGGATAGCATAGAGCAGTATGGACTCACAAATGCTGCCCTCATGAAGCTAATAGTCTAGCAGGCAAAATTATTAGACAAATAATTGCACGGCCCTTTGATTCATCATGAGTGTGTTAAACATAATGAAAAAGCTATGTAGGCTCTTTGAGCACAAACATGCAAGGGAACTGATCTTGGCTGGTAAGTCTCAGAAGGCTTCCTAGAGGAAGCTGCATTTCAGTTGAGATCTGAAAAGACAGTATGAGTTAGTTAGTGACTAGAGGGTGAGGAGAGGCACTCCAAGCAAGGGAACACCATGCTCCAAGGCCGTTATCCCTCCATCCACAAAGTGGCAAAGCATTTGGATAAGGGCCCAAGAGGGGATAAGGAGGTTGGCTGGAAACTTTAAACCACATGGATGTCCATCACAGAATTATTGACAGGGTGAGAAACTGAAAAACCAAACAAAACTAAAACCCTTAATGTCTAACAATAAAAGATTGAATAAAATTTTATGGTGCCTTCATTCAAAGGAATACAGAAGTCCTATGCAGCTTTCTGTATCAAGAAGACAACTCTATAATAAATAAATACTTCGTAAATTATTTTGTGAAACAAGCACTTTACAATCTCATGTTTATGAAAGAATTGTTCACATATATAGTTCACTGGAGCATATATGCCAATATGTTAGCAGTAGTTATTTCTGGGTGGTGGGATAGCATAGTATTTCTCATCTCCTGTTTTCTTAAGCTACTACCATTTTAACAAAGACCCCCACCCCAACACACATACACATACTACTGCTTTTTTTTAAGGCTATGCCACGTTGGCAGTAACATGTAGTGGTGAAGTATAAAGGCTCCAGAGCTGGGAAGACTTGGTCTGGATTTGGCCCTACCCATCTCGACCTGGGGATGTGAGGCACTTTTCTGTGAGCTAACTTGCCTATCTGTAAAATGCACTGTGGTAGTTGTGGGGATTAATGACTCAGTCCCTAGATTGTGCTTAGCATAGAGTCTGGCCCATTAGTAATAGCTCAACAACATTAGTGAGGAATGCTAAAAGAAATATAGTTGTATTTATAAGCGTTTTCCCCCTAGCCGTGCTTCTTCAGGCTGCTTGGTTTTGTATTTGGAAGTGTGTCAGAAGAGGGTCACACTGTGCAATGGTGATTACTCCCCTTGTGTCTTTGAGGACAGCAGGGAGGGGAGGAAGGGTGGCCAGAATAGGGCTGGGCGACAAAAGTTTCCATGGAAACCCAAGAGCCTAGTGGATTCCCTCCCTCCTCAGCCCACACCGTATCCCTTTCCCTCCCCTCTGTCTACCTCCCACCCTTTCCTCTCACCTTCCTCCCACCGATGATTTGCTTTTTTTTACACTGGATTATAAATTCCTCTGGGGCCGAGAGCATGCATCAGACAGTAGTTGTATGTCAGCTTTCCCCATGGGAAGCATCTACCATGCCTTGTGCAGCTGCCCCTCTTGGCTGGTATAAGCAGAGAGACTTATTGAAAGGAGTTGTGAGTGTGACATTGAGAAGAGTGGCAGCAGAGGGGTTGGAAGGGAAAGGCAGATGTGAGAGATACTTAAACAAAAAAAATGGAAGGTCTTGGTGAAGGTTGAAGAGAGCATCAACTCTAGTTTTTCAAAGTGCTAATTTCAGGCATATTTTTTAACCCCTCTAAGCTAATGTTTCTTCATTTACAAATGGAGATAGTATTGTCTTCCTTCTACTTTGTGGTAAGGCTTGGCTAAGGAAGGGTGTGAAAGTGCTCAGTGTGGAGCCTGGCATTCTGCTTAGAACAGCTTTCCTTTCTTCCCTCCAAGGCTTTGGAGAGTGGTGGCTGGAGCAATGGTGGTGGTGTTCATATAGCAAGGGAGGGAACAAACCAGTGTATTTGGTGGGTAAAGAAAAGTTTGACATGCCGCGTGTTGACATGTGGTGCTGTTGAGAGAGTCCATTGGACAAATACACCTGCTAACAAACAATGGAGGAGCCAAAGTTTCTGAACCATCTTTATAACCTATATAACATTGTTATGGGCATGCTAGCAGGAGGTGAGAGCTTAGAAGGAGAGAGATAGGAAAAGAAGAAAAAGCTCTGAGGTCAAGATTGTGGAGGGAGCAACAGTTTCAAAGTTTGATATGGGAAAATAAATTTATGAAGTTAGAAGGAGGTCAGAATCACCAGAGTTTAAGGAGGCCAAGAAACCAAAGCATACACTTGTGTTTGTCATGAGAAAGAAATTCTTGAGACCTGTCAACAAAATCCATCTTCTGAAGCCAGTAAGAATTTTCTGTTTTCCTTCAGTTCCTTTCTCCCCTGTCTTTGCACATCCCTGGCACATCCCCCTCTACACATCTTACTACCATCTTCCAGGAAACTATCAGGATCGTGGCCACCCTTCAAAGGCTAGTACAGGTCTTACCACCAGGAATACTTTATCCTGTCTCTAGTCCACAATGATCTAAGTCTCCTGCCTTGCAAATTCCTAAAGTATTTATTTTTTTTAAAAAATCTTAAAACCTTTTTATTTCAGAATAGTTTTAAACTTACAAAACAAAATTTGCCTAGTAAAAAGAGTTCCCATTAACCCCACACCCAACTTCCCCTATTGCTAGCATTTATATTAGTATGATAAGTTTGTCATGACCTATAAGCCACATCCAGTTTCCCCTATTGTTTATATCTCATGTTAGTCTGTCATAATCAATACCAGCTTCTTGTATATTTTTTTCATCCAAACCTTCTATTCCTCTCACCAGCCTCAGATACTCACTGTTCTGTATTCAGATTGAGTTCTTTTTTTCTTTTTTTTAAAGATTTATTTATTTATTTATTTATTTGGGTCCACTTGGGGGACCCAGAAGAAGCTCCTAACTCCTGACTTTGAATCGGCCCAGCTCTGGCGATTGCAGCCATTGTGGAGTGAACCAGCAGATGGAAGACCTTTCTCTTTGTTGTTCCCTCTCTCTGTTTATAACTCTACCTCTCAAATAAATAAATTGTCTCCACAATTCATTTGTTGAAATCTGACTATCAATGTAATACATTGGGAGCAAGGGCCTATAATGAGGTAATTAAAGTGAAATGAGTCATAGGATGGAGACCTTATTCAATAGTATTAGTCTTATAAGATGAGGCACAGAGGCTGGCACTGTGGCTCAATAGCCTAATCCTCCGCTTATGGCGCCAGCACACTGGGTTCTAGTCCCTAGTCCCGGTCGGGGTGCCAGATTCTTTCCCAGTTGCCCCTCTTCCAATCCAGCTCTCTGCTGTGGCCAGGGAGTGCAGTGGAGGATGGCCTAAGTGCTTGGGCCCTGCACCTGCATGGGAGACCAGGAGAGGCACCTGGCTCCTGGCTTCGGATCAGCGTGGTGCACCGGCCGCAGCGCGCTGGCCACAGCGGCCATTGGGGGGTGAACCAACAGTAAAGGAAGACCTTTCTCAGCCGGCGCCGTGGCTCAATAGGCTAATCCTCCACCTTGCGGCGCCGGCACACCGGGTTCTAGTCCCGGTCGGGGCACCGGATTCTGTCCCGGTTGCCCCTCTTCCAGGCCAGCTCTCTGCTATGGCCAGGGAGTGCAGTGGAGGATGGCCCAGGTGCTTGGGCCCTGCACCCCATGGGAGACCAGGAAAAGCACCTGGCTCCTGACTCCTGCCAGGATCAGCGCGGTGCGCCGGCTGCAGCGGCGGCCATTGGAGGGTGAACCAGCGGCAAAAGGAAGACCTTTCTCTCTCTGTCTCTCTCTCACTGTCCACTCTGCCTGTCAAAAAAAAAAAAAAAAAAAAAAAAAAAAGATGAGCATAACAATAAAAAAAAAAAAGGAAGACCTTTCTCTCTGTCTCTCTCTCTCACTGTCTACTCAGCCTGTAAAAAAAAAAAAAAAAAAAAAAAAAAAAGGGCAGAGACCAGCGTGCTGTCTCTCCCCAATAATGTGAGGATACGGAGAGAAGGCAGATGCTTGCAACCAGGAAGAAAGCTCTCCCCAGAAACTAAATTGAGTGACACTTTGACCTTGTACTTCCCTAGCTCTAAAACCATGGGAAAATAAATATCTGTTGTTTAAACCACTCAGTTTGTGGGTTTTTTTTTTAAGGCAGTCTGAGCTAATGCACTTGTTCTAATCCCATCCCAGTGATGCATGGTGAGGTCCCAGGAACAGGGCTGCTAACATGAGTCTTACACTGGAAAAAGACTTTCTCATCTAAAAGTCTCATGTGACTCACATAACAGCCTGAGAGAGAATTTGGTCAAGAATTTTTGTGCCTATTCCTGAACCAGAGAACTGGGGTCCTCCAGCATTTAGCCCAATGGCTGACTCATAATGGAAGCTCATTAAGTGTTTGGTGCATGTCTAACAGTGAGCATCCCTTATCTAGAATGGACGTTTCATGTATCATCTTCCAGGGCTCCTCAGTCTTTTTCAGCACTCTTTTCTCTAATGCTACTCAGTCTAGGTGCTGATGTCAAGGAGGCTGGGTCCAGGTTTTTATCTTTGATGAAAGAAAAGAATTTGATGATGAGACGTGAGTAAAGGTCAGCAGAGAAGCCAGACGTACTTACATGCAAAGCAGAGTCAAAATACACGCTCAGGAGGATACAGGCATGCTCCAGAGAAAGGTGCGCTTCTGAGGTTGAGGCCCCTTCCTTAGTGTGACTGCAGCTGTAGGGGTGGGATCTGGAATGGGGCTTAATGAAGTTGATGGGGTTGGGAAGCAGCGTTTGAGTACCTCCCCATGTCACTGCCCATTTTTGGGAAAGCTTGGAAATATTATGGTGCCAGGTACAAGATGAGGGTAGCTATGTCAGCCATGGTGATTTTATTATAATGACCTTATAATGAGCTACATGCCATTGCAGGGATGCAGCCAGCAGCCATGCTGGTTAGTTTTGTCTGTCATTGGTGTGGTGAGGTGATTTTCTGGAAGCTGCAGTTTCCCATTTCATAGACAGGGAGTGGAATTGGGCAGTGCAGGTGGGGCTGCAGTGCAGGCAGAGAGATGTGGGGAGGGACTGGCAACCTCAGATCCTCCTTGCCAGCTTATCTCCCTGCCTACATCACTACAGAAGAGCTTTTCAAAGCTACCAGTGGTTATAATCTGCATTCAAATTCCTGGGTGATTCTGGATTAATTAAAAATCTTTCCCCCAGAAAGAGTCAAATTCAGTTAGTTTATTTGAGAGGGCCAAGAAACACCAGTATGTTGTTAGAAAGAAGAAAGGGAGCCACGGCTCACTAGGCTAATCCTCCGCCTGCGGCGCCGGCACCCCGGGTTCTAGTCCCTGTCGGGGTGCCGGATTCTGTCCCAGTTGCTCCTCTTCCAGGCCAGCTCTCTGCTGTAGCCCGGGAAGGCAGTGGAGGATGGCCCAAGTGCTTGGGCACTGCACCTGCATGGGAGACTAGGAGAGGCACCTGGCTCTTGGCTTCGGATCTGCGCGATGCACTGGCCGTAGCGCACTGGCTGCGGCAGCCATTGGAGGGTGAACCAACGGTAAAAGGAAGACCTTTCTCTCTGTCTCTCTCTCTCACTGTCCACTCTGCCTGGCAAAAAAAAAAAAAAAAAAAAGAAGAAAGGGAAAGGAAGGCAGCCAATGACATTGTATTATCAAGAAGTCAATGTGGGCCACTGGAAATTACTCCCCTTGGGATGCTGGGGGCGAGGGTGGACACATGCCTCATGGCTTTTTTTAAAAAATATTTTATTTATTTATTTGAGATGTAGAGTTACAGACAGTGAGAGGGAGAGACAGAGGGAAAGGTCTTCTGTCTGGTGGTTCACTCTCCAAATGGCCGCAACGGCCGAAACTGTGCCTATCTGAAGCCAGGATCCAGGTGCTTCTTCCGGGTCTCCCATGCGGGTGCAGGGGCCCAAGCACTTGGGCTATCTTCTACTACTTGCCCAGGCCACAGCAGAGAGATGGATTGGAGGAAGAACAGCCAGGACTAGAACCGGCACCCATTTGGGATGCTGGTGCCATAGGCGGAGGATTAACCTACTGTGCCATGGCGCCGGCCCCAGTGCCTCATGATTAAATCATTATCCCACCACCAAGGAGCAAGGGAACCTAGGTAGTTATACACCAACTCCTGTCAGTATTATTCACTGATGGATGTTCTTACAGGACATACATTCTCTAACTTTTCTGACATGTACAAGAACATAGCAGTCTTTGGAGACCAGTGGATGCTTTCAGGTCAAGTTCTAGCATTTGGAAATTAAACTGGTAGGTGTTGATATGGTGGGGGCCAGGGAGATGTGGGTGTGGTACATACAGCACCTACCATCTATGAAAGGAAGTGTGGTACCCAGTGCATCAAATAAATTTGTGTTTGTAAAACACTTATAATGTGCCATGGTGGATAAGTATTGCTAAGTGTATGTGACAGGTTGTATTTTCCTTACAGGGACACAGCAATTTTCTGGTCCCACGTGCTCTGTGAGCACCTTGCCACTCTCTCTTCAGTGTTGGAGTCTATTTCCCGTTCCTTTGATTGCAGTGGGATTTTGTGACTGCCTTGATGAATGGAACAAGCAGAAGATTTCTGTTTCATGGTGGAAGGTGATGAGGGTCCACCTACTTTTCTGTTTGTGTACACACACACAACTATGGGAGCCCTGTCCTGAAGCTGTCACACTGCAGAGATCACGTGAAGAGACAATACAGGAATACAGAGAGAAAGCCAAGGAGCCTCAGCTATTCAACTCATCCCAGCAGGTGCCATCTTGAGACAAGTGTCTATACATTCAGTGAGGGAGTCTTTGAGACAGCCCCAGTCACAGCTGCCTGATGACTACAGTCACAGGACAGAGCCTGACCTAGATCTGCCCAATTATGCTCAGTCGAATTCCTGAGCCACAGAAACCAGGGGAGATAATGAATAATCATTGTTATTTTAAGACACTAAGTTTTGAGATAATTTCTTATGTAGCCATAGTAACTGGAACAGTGCTTGATAAATAAAATAAATACACTCTCACCTCCTCTACTCACAGGCCCTCTCCGGATATGAAAGGAAACTTTCATGTTCTGAATTGCACATTCTGGCAGGTGAGTATAGCCAAAGCTAATGTTTTTCTAATAGTCAGATCGTCACAATGTTGAACTTTGTAATATGCCACAGTTTTATTTGTTTTGGACTGGACATTGTGGTGATTCTACAATGCCTGTTTTGCTCTTCTTACAGTCAGTGGTGGCCTGGTTGCTTAGTCCTCCACCCCTAACTCCAAAGTAGGCCCTGGATGATCTAATCCAACAAGGAATTCAGGGCCTCTGACCTCAGTGATTGACCCCACACAATTCAGGTACAAGCCAATCAGTATTTGGCTTTTTTAGGATTGGTTATCAATGGTGTAATCAGGACACACCCAGGACTCTTGCTGGAGAACTGTGCATGGATGCGTTCTTTCTCTGGCAAGTGTTGGATTAGACATATATGTATATTGGAATCATGACAATTATTTTACTACTACGAGGGGAACCAGCCTGAGATTGAAATCAGTATACACAGAGAATTAGTCTAGAACCTTGATCCTGGGCTACATCTGCATTTTCAGGTAGGGCAGCCAAGAAATTACCTTCATTATTTAAACTACTTTGATATGGGTTTTCTATAACTTAGAACCAAAAGTATCCTAATTAATTCAGATACCAATACTTTGGACACTGTCACCGAAGCCAATCCACTCTTGTTCTTCGCAGACAGAAAAGAAGAGCAATGTATAATCTGTATAAACCTTTCCAGCACTTTCTATGGGCATTTTCCTATGAAACCTTGTGTTTTACCTAGAAAATAACTACTATTTTCCTGGCCACATCTTAGGGATAAGTGTGTATACATTTAATAACTATATTAATTTCCTATTGCTGTTATTAACAAAGTAGCACAAACTGGCTGCTTAGAACAATGAAAATTTATTGTCTCACTGTTTTAAGGGCCAGGAGTTCAAGATCCAGCATGCTCAGGGCCATGTTTCACCTGAAAGCACTAGAGAAGGGTCTGCTCCAAGCCTCTGTCCTAGATTCTTATAGCCTCAGATGTTCCTTGACTGGTACATGGCTGTATTCTTTCTGTGTCTCTGTGTGTGTCTTTCCTCTGTGTATGTCTGTCTGTTCAAATTGCCCCTTTTCACAGAGTACCAGTTGTATTGGATTAGGGCTCATCCTAATCACCTCATTTTAACTTAATTGCCTTTGTTAAGGACCCTATTTTCAAACAAGGTCACGTTCAGAGGTACTGGGGGGAACACAGTTCAACCCCTTACAGTGGGGTAGAGAGATTGGCTTTGGAGGTATACAAGGAGATGACAAGACACCAAAAAGAAACCAGGAAACTTTAAACAAGTACCTTATTGAACATACAACTTTGGAGTTGTCCATGTGTAAGGAGGCTGATGTCCCTGCTTTGATTTGTAGGATAATTAAAGACGTGGGTTCTAATTGGGATATACTTTCTCTGCTGAGATACAGGGATGGAGATGAAAGAATCAGAGCTAGGTTCATAAAACACTGAGCCTGTGTTGCCTCTCTTTTCTAGCCTAGATATTTCCATTTACAACAATCTCTGTTTTGTTGGATTTTTTGAAGGAATACACACAAAGCTTTGACATATTATTCTCATTGTGTTCAACTGAATGAAATTTATGAAGCCTTTTGCACAGTGTGTTCATTGTTTGGATTGGGATAATTGAAGTGTCAGGAATATTTGCTTACTGAAAACAACTCAGGAAGGCCCTGGCCACTCAACCAGGCCAGAGCCACAGGACATGCCATGCTCTGAATAGCTTTGTCCTAATGTCTTTTATGGTAGGATCACATTCTCAGCTAAATTAGCCTCATACCTGGAAAGAGCACTACATTAGGAGTTAGAAGGCCTTGTTTCTAAAGTGGACTTCACTATTGATTCATTGTGTAACTTGAATAAATTGTTTAACTTCGCTGTACCTCAGAACTCAATGGATATAAGTAATATGGTGTTATCTATCTTGTAGGGATATTATATTGTGTGATTTGTAGAAGAAAATCTATGTGAAAACATTTTAGAAGTCATAAAATGCTATTTAAATGTGTCTCTCTAATGATAAAATTAATCATGTCTACTGCTTAAAGTATGGCATTGAACTAAAGAGTATAAAGGGCCAATGTTCTTATTATTCAGTTTTTCCCCCAGGGTCCATTCCCTGTCCTTTTCTGCACTGCTCTGTGCCTGGGGAGGCTGAGCACTACAGGTTGCTTGAGTGGGACTTCTTTAGCTGCAGCTTCCGCTTGGGTGTTACCATGAGAAGTGCTGATAGGAAAGGGAATGTGGGAGGAAAGAGAGGTTGGGGTATTGACTCCTCTCTCTCTCCTTGACCAAGACAATGTGGTATCCGTGTTCTGCAGCCTCAACTTCAATTGAACAGCCTCTTTCACTCCTTTATCCTCACTGGGCTTCAAGAAATATCATTCCCTCGCCTGCCCCTCAGTTGAGAGGAGAGCAGTTTCCACTATGGCTGACCAGTGATGTCTGCCTCTGTAAATGGTCTCCCCAGTGTCACTCTTCAAGCCTTGGAATGTGCCATCTGATTCCTGAGGGACCCTGACTGATGCATGTCATGTACATAATGAGGACAAGAAACAGCCCAACTCTTCCAGAGAATATAGTTATCTTTCTTTCTGGGAGAATGCTCTGAGCTTTTTTGTGTCTTCAGCCATCAGGCAGGTCTGCAAAATGTTTCTCAGGTGGAAATGAGCAGTGTGGGATCTTGAAGAACTGTAGGAGTTTGGAGGTCTTTTCTGATTCCCATCAGCAGGTAGGATGCTTTCTTTAGGTTTTCAGGGAGACTTGGTTTCTGCCTGTTCTTATCTGATAGCTCCTGTACTCCCTGCATTGAGTTCCTCAAGTGCCATCTGCTGTCTCTCAGGCCACAGAGAGGTGACCTCAGGTCCTTATCTCTGGCCTTCTCTCCTACCTGTTATCCTCCCTGACTCTTGATATGAAAGTCTGTTTTCTGTTTTTGACTCCATAGCTCCAGCTTCTCATTTCTGTTCATGCTGCTCAGGCATGGAATCTTGACTCGCCTTAGCATCTCTTGCTACTCCTGGTGTGTCAGTAGCTACCACAAACGGTTGCTTCTCCCTTCAAAATATTTCCTGCATTTAACTATGAACTCTTATCATCTTAGTCCACACCTCTTTGTACTTCCTGAATTTCCATGGAAGGATTTCCAGTTGACTTTTCTTTCTGCAGTCTCTCTCCAGTCCAATAAAACCTATAAACTTTTGCCACCTTACTTGTCATGAAATTTGGATTCCATTGTGTCCCTCCTCTGTGTGAACATCTTTGATGACTCTGTTGCCCACAAGATGAAATCTAAAGTCCTGATCTTGTTATCAAAGCCTTGCACCATCTGTTCCTTGACCTATTTACTACCTGACAAACTTGTTCTGCTCTCCTTGCTCCTTCTGACCACACCAAGGGGCTTTCCAGCCTCCGTTGCTCCAGGAACGCCCCACTCTGCCTTGCTATATGTGCTCTCCCTAGCCCTCAGAGCTGAACCCCAGTGCCACAGGTTCTCTGAAACTTTGACCACTGTAAGTCACAGCAAGTCTTCTCTCCTTTCAAGCCCAAGACATGTTTGCTGAACTGAACTCAAACTCCAGAGAACATTGCTTATACTATGATTTGGAGTTTATCATTCCCTGTCTAGTATTGAAATACCTTTGTAACGTTGTGTGGTCATGTGTGTCTTGCCCTTAGCTGTTTATCTAGTGAATAAATAAATGTGTGAAATATACCAGCTTATCCAAAGAGCTGATCTTTAAGGGACTGGGTAATCATGCATATTTTGCATGTGAGTAGGTACCTGGCACTAATGTCACACCTTTGCTGCGGTAGGCTTAGAGCCTGGGAAACAGCAATGACAAGGATGATGATAAAAATTGAAATGCCTACCATTTATTGAGTACCTACTATGTGCTTGTGCTTTATATGCAGAATCTCTTTATCTTGATAATTAACTTATGTAACTATCACTATTGTCTATTTTTGTTAAATCAAGAAATGAAAACTCAAAGTGATGGATAAACTGCCCAAGATAGTAGGGGTATAAGGGTGCCTAGCTGCTGGGATTCCAGAGCCTCTGAAGAGTGATGTTCAAAAGTGTCTGCCTTCAGCAGGTGCTTTAAGTCTGCAGTGTCACCAGCACAGTTATTCCTTTAGACTACTCTTCCTGAGGTTTGTTATTCAAATGGCATACCCTTTTGATAAAGGGATTGTTGTAAAATGTGGTAGAAAGAACGTGTTTTCTGGAATCCAGTAGCACTGAACTCAAATTGTAGGTCTGCCATTTAAAATAGCTAGGAGACTGCAATAAATAATTATTTCACCTCTTTAAGTTGCAGATACCTCATCCATTAATATGGGGATAACAACACCAGATTAGATATCCAAGGTAAAAGATAAAAGCACATAGTCTAGCACCTGGCACGAAGATGACTCAGAGTAAATCTTAACAATTACTCCTAATTTTTTTTCTTTGAAAAGAGTAATCCATTGAAATCCCTGGAAGGGATTTGGGTCGCACCGTCACTGTTGAATTCTCATCGTGGTTGCAGTCTAGTGTCTAAGGGTCTGCTGGGAATGTGTATGTGTGTTTTGGGTGAAGGAAGATAGAAGGGAAGGGGAGAAACTTACAGAGAAAAGCTAGTTCAGAAGCTAGGAGAGGTCATCAGAAGAGGAGATAAGTAAGTTTGGGAAAACTGTCTTTATTTTCATCTACCTTTCTCCCCTTCCTTTGCTACTCTCTGAACTCAATTCATCTTCTTCTTCCTCGATTTTTTCCATAATGTCACCTGGTACTTCTGATTCTGTTGTTGTATCTTTATAATTTATTTTTTTGGAAGTCATTGATTTTTTACAATGTAAATCAGCTCTTTTTAAACTTTTTGATTCTTCCCATTTTAGTTGGCATTTGGTCTAAACCCTAATAACATCCTGGAAAGTGTTCCATACCCCAGTCCCCATATACCTCTCCCCCTTGGCCTCACTTTTGTCCTCTCCTGTCCCTCTG